CATTTTTAGGTGGGTAAAACTCTATACAATGCCTTCATACATTAAACATGCAGAAAGGGACAATGACTGAATTTATTCGTTTGCTTAATTTCACATTTAAAAAATTTGCTATTTATTCCAATTCACATAACACAAATTGCTGATAACGTATTATTTTCTTAAAAAGCACCTCCAGATTGGGATTGTTTTCCCTAAAGTCTATTGGTCTACTTCTCTTAGTTATGTACTGTCTTTTACATCCTTTTGTTTCATTTTTCTTTATAATTATTTTCTTGTAGGACTGAAATATTATGAGAAAATAGTACTCTAGAATGATTACCCCAGAGTTGGGGTGCAGGACTGTTCTCCACTAGTTAGGATGCTGTGGCATGCTCCCCTGCACCGTGGCCTACCGTTGACGCAGTGCTGTCAAGTCCTGCTCTCCCCCACCTTAAACCTCCCGTCACTCATAGTGGCCATTTGATTCCCCGCCTGCAGAATCAATTTCAACTCAGTTCAGAGAAATCTTCTATTCAGGGACTCCACCTTGAGTCACTGTTGTATCAGAGTTGTCAGCAAGTTTCGACATTCTTTCTTCCACCTAAATTCTTCCTTGGGAGCCTGCCTTGGACCCCGGTTTCCTTGAAGAGACGGCATCCTTCCTCCAGTTCCCAGTGCCATACCTGGAGTCCTTCTGCTCAGACAACCCCATTACCAATACAGCAGGGCCTCCCTCCACCCTCCCCAAACCACCCCCTACAATTTCTTCCTCAGCTGCTCCTCTCGCTTGGCCCTCTTGCTCCCCTACACTACGTCAAGTTATCACTAGACCCTTGAGGTACTCTATTTGGCCTGCTGGACCTGCCACTTTGCAACACAGCCCTCAAACCTGACTCCTCAATGGGTAAGCCTGGTCTAGGCATACTCAATCTTAGCAGGAACAGGAACCACTTGAGGAAACTGTTCAATATGCGGATTCCTGCTCCTTTCCAGAGATCCTGATTCAACAGGCCAGGAATGGGATCAGGGAATTTTTCACAAGTACCCTGGGGAATTCTCATTCAGGTGGCCATGCAGGGACCCTGCTTTGTAAAACACTGATCTGGTCCCAGGTCCCATGCTGTTCGGCCCCATCCTACTGAAGTTCATGCACCAGGGTTCCAGAGCAAGAAGCATCCGTGGAACAGGTTTGGACACTGAAACACAAAAAACCCAGTCTGTCTGGAGCCTAAGTCATTCTCTGACACTAAGTTAGGGTCCTGGGGAAGGACGAGAGCTGATTTTCAAAACAGACATGCCCTGACCTGGTATAATTTCAGGCATTTCAAGAGATAGCACAATAGTTTCCAAACTTGGCCACCCATTAAAATGACCTGCGGTATGTGATTAAAATACAGATTCAACGGCCACAGCCTGATATTATGGAATCAGCTTGTCCAGAAAGGAGACTGGGAGGTTCTACTTCACCCGTGCTCCAGATGACTCTGTCACAAACCAGAGTGGCCCTGTGGACTCATGCACAGACCTCTCAGCGACTGGGGGCTACAAGGATACAGCACGTTCCTTCCTGGTACCTGAATTTCCGCAATTACAAGTTCTAGGTCCTTTTGGCCAAAAGATTGTTTTGTTGTTCTGTTAATTTTAAACATCTTCAGGAAAAAGGGCCCCTTCGAACAGCAGAGAATAGGAATAATTAACATTAAATGCCACCCTGTTGCTTTTGGGAGGGTACTGAGCTTTGTACCCCATGTCCCAACTGGAACCCTGAGGCTGCTGCTTCCTCCATCCATGCTCCTCAACCCCACACTCTACCCGATCCCAACAATTACTCTCATTTAAAGTAATTGTTTTCACATGTTTGCTCCCCCCCACTGGACGGTAAATTCTTAAGAACAGAGAATGTCTAATTTGTCTCTCTGTGTCTTAAACATTATCCAGCACGTGAGTTTCCAATAAATTGTCACTTGATAAACAAAAGATAGTAGCTTACATCCTCACACCTTAATGCCAGGGGGATTATCAAGCCTTTTCCTCTGAGCAAGTTTTGATATGGAGAAGGAAGAGAGTGTGAGGGCACTGGGACACCCCGCCCCACGCACACACCCCGCCTCCCATGGAGCAAGAGAAAGCTGAAGACACGTTAGACAGATGCCAAACATTCTTCTTGTGTGCTGAGGTCAGTTCCAGAAAGGCTGATGGCTCCTCTCTCATATCAGAATGCCTCTGCGGCTGCCCTAACATATTTCTTTCCAGGGCTTACTCTGCAAGCCAGCAGAGGAGGTAACCCTCTGCGGGTTTGGGTTTAGGAGACACCTAAAGCCCTGCATGCTCTAAATATTCAGTCTGCTGATAGCTAAGGAAGAACAAGTTTCTGACAAAATGAGAGAAAGGGTAAGTTTCAATGGGGTGTTTGGAGATTGGGATGCTACGCCAGGGAGCAAAGTAGGGAATTTGTCTTCCCTATAGACAGAAAGCTCTTTCTCGTCCTGCAAAAAATAGGAAATAGGACTGTGGACAGGCATGCAGGGACCAGAGGACACTCAATGGGGAAAGTAGGACTGTGTGCCAAAGTCTCATTCCATCCAATTTACTCTTCCACCTAAGGCCACCTAAAGAGGGGTGTGCTTAGGCACAGAGTGGGGACCTCGTGTAGTGGCATGCTTTTAAAGTGAGAGCAAGGCTAACAAAATAATAGGTTTACGAGCAGAAGACTCAGTTTGATTTGGAATTTATATTTGGAAACCAATTGTCAAGGTCATCTTGACAAACTCGTGTACTAGCTCATCCCTTTGAAAAGGGATGGCCAAATTTGTCTGGTGGAATTTTTCCCTTTACGTTATAAGTTAAACTGCTAGCATGAAAACTGATTACAGTAAAAAACACAAAACCCAGAACCTAGGATTGAGGTGTGACTTTGTCCTTTACACATTAAATATTGCAACACATCTTTCCTAACATACTATGTGCCGCAATATGTCAACATAAGTTTAAGAAGAAATGCAAGGACTGACTGTAAATCTCAGTTTCAAACTGACTTTCCCACCTTTTGTCTGTTTGTTTAAGATTTAAAGGGACCTCTCTCTGTTTTAGTTACCAGACCCTCCTCAAAATGGAGGTACTCAATGTCCCCGCATTTGAGGCTCATTCTTTACTGACTTACTCAGAGGCTCTCTCCAATTCACAGTCCAGCCTTTAAGAAGCAGAATCTTCTTCTCCTCTGAACTCCCTGTGGCAAGTTGAGCTAACAGATTCCTCCCTCCCTGACCTCGATCATCAGCAGAGGCTCTGATATGAAAAAGACTCCATCAAACTGGATCATTCCTGCAGACAGCAAAGGAAACAACCACTGACAACCAGTGGACTATGATCTTTAGTGCAATGTGGCTGGCCTAAGGTGGGGCAGAGAAAGAGTCAAAAGCTTTATATCAGGGGTAGGGTGGGGTTCTCTGTTATTCTTAAAGGATTAGGCAAAGGGAGGGTAACTCTGGTTATCTCTAGATGAGTAATGTGTGTCTCTGCAAGATGTGTTGAATCACAGGGGATCCAGTAACACAGACCAGCCAATCCATGACTGTCACTGGTAGACACAGACCTGGGATCAGGGCCCCTCATTTATCTCATTTTGGAGACAGGAGCTTGTCTGCCTCTGGAGAGCGTGAGTAGGGGAAACTGAGGAATCCGTCTTGCTACCTAAGGCACTCACTCCACTTGAGATGGATCCACCCCTCCCGCCACCTCAAGAGCACGAGCTTATATCCTGTCTCAACTGCAGGCATGGGCTTCCTGTGGGCATATAAATATGCTAAAGTTGCTACCATCTTAAGAAACAAAAACTTTCCTCAAAGTCATCCTCAAGAGTGACTTCCTCAGGGAAGTCTTCCCTTAGGCCCAGAGCATCCTTCCTTCTCTGCAGTCTTTGTCATTTTATATTTATTTGTCTCACACTTTTTTTGAGGATGCTTAGCCCTGAGCTAACATCTGCTGCCAATCCTCCTCTTTTTTGCTAAGGAAGACTGGCCCTGAGCTAACATCCATGTCCATCTTCCTCTACTTTATATGCGGGACGCCTGCCACAGCATGGCTCGCCAAGCAGTGGTGCATAGGTCTGTAGCCGGAATCCAAACTGGTGAACCCCAGGCCCCCGAAGCAGAACGTGCGAACTTAACTGCTGCACCACGGGGCCAACCCCTATTTGTGTCACACTTTGATTAAAATATTTCTTCCTACCAAACTATAAACTCCACAAGGACAAGGATTACGTCTATTTTCACCCAAGGTTCTGTCCCTAACACCTACCACTAAGCAGGTACCCAATAAATGGCCATTAAATCAGAGGGTGAGCACATGTGGACAGGACTGGGTTTCCTGCGGGAGGAGATGGGGTCACCAGATTTGACTAGAAGGCTACCTGTGGGCAGGCGGACTCCAGAAGGGAGAAACATCTCAAGTGAAGGCAGCATTCGAGAGGCTTCATGCCAGTCTTCCTCTGTGCAGTAAAATTAGTCAGAATTTCAGCCTTCAAACTTCCACATTGGAATACCCTTCTGAGGTGCATCTCACTCTTCAGAATTTAGCATATCTACATACTCCTGCATTTGAAGGCTGCTGAAGGCTCATCAGGTAGGATGGCCATGAAAGAGAAGGGCCCAGACCTCCTACCTTGCTGAAAGCCTCATCAGAGAAGGGGCTGGAAGAGCATTGGCCCCTCAAGAGGAATGGAAGGCAGCATCCCCCTTGATGCTGAAGACAACCTCAGTAAGACAACTTCTCCAATGTCCCACATAGGTTAGGAAAATCCCCCTTCCAGACTGGAATGCAACAGGGCCCCCCATAAACCCAGGTTATAATTTTAAAACCAATAAATTCCAAAGTCTTCTTCATAGCAGTATTTTAGCCTGAAATGTTTTTGTTTGATAAAACTCCATCCTTGCCTTTAAGAAAATTATTGCTCAATTTTTCAACATCTTGAAAAACAGAGAAGCATCAATTGATTTACCCATCCATCCCTCCATTTATTTCTTCAGCAAATACATTTTGACAAGGCAGCCGCAGAACTTACAGTGTCAAGAGGAGCCACGCAAACAACCTATTACACAATGAGAAAGAACCAAGCAGCACGCAGCCTGGAGCGGCCAAACATCGGAGGACCGCGCAGAAATAAGCACGTAATCCTGACCTCTTCCACACCATCCATCGCCTGCATTTGAGGACTAAAATTTAATGTTTTCATGGACTTTGTAAGTTTTGTTTTATTTTAGACTCAGTCTTGTGAAAATTAGAAAATAGATTAATAATAGTTTCCTGTTCTCCATCTCTTTAGAAGGCAAATAAAAGGAAACCAGAGTTTTGTTGTGGCAACCAGGGAAGAAGTAAACACCAGAAGCTGTGCAATGGCAAAACGTTAAGATCCTGCAGGACCCGAGGATCAGATTGTGTGTCCTCTTGTACTCAGGATGAGGAAACAGGCCCAGGGGAATAGAATGAAGCTTGGGTAATTACAAGAATTTTTCACTAACAAATGATGTGACTATAATTAGCATTTTCCATTTGAAAAAGGATATATGGTTTAAGTGCCTTAAGTAATTCATTTAAATTTTTTTAACAACTCTATGAATAGGCACAATTGTTATCCCCACATTACAGATGAGGAAATTGAAGCATAGAAAGGTTAATTTGCCTAATTATTGTATAAACAACAACTACTTGTCAGCTAGTAAGTATTAGAGCTGGAATTCAAACCCAGGGAGTCTGGTTCCAGAAATCAGAAACAAGGTGTTTAACGTCACATGTTTTACCTCTTGTACTTTTGGAAAATACACACGCGTTTTTTTAATGGGATCATTCTCATTGAACAGGTCTAGTTTTTGGTGATGAGTGGTTTCATTTTATTTTTCCAGATAAAGGAAATATGAAGTTAAGACGGACATGAATACGTTTCTAACTCTCAGGGAATATCACAAAGGGTAAAATGTGCTTTTACAGTAATTTAATATCATTTTCTGAAAGCTGCCATGCTATTGCGTTACCTGGCAATATCAGATCAACGTCAGTCTCTGTTCAAACACCAGTTGTGCAAAGCCGGTCAGAGTAGCTGGTAGCCAGGCAGACTCAGTCACAGACTGTCTCTCTAGGCACCGAAATTATAATTGGCCACCTAATCACGGTGCCTCTTCACTTTAGAGAAAGAAAATACAAGATACAAAATATCATTAGGGATAAATCACAGGTAACTTTATTTAACAAATAACACAGGCACAGATAGTGTTTGTTAAAATATGCAAATAATAGGGGCGTTCTTCATTTGTTCATTCACTCATTCAGCACGTGTCTACTAAGTACCTATGTGCCAAATGCCGCGGCAAATGCCAGGAACAGATAAGAACGAACAGGGACTGGCTGCTAAGGGGCACGAAGTCTGGTGGGGGCCAAAACAGTGTATTATCATGTGCTTCTGGAACCCAAATGAGGGCAAGTCTCCTGATGGGACTGGATGGGAAGAGCTTTGGAATCACATACACCCGAGTCCTAATCAAGCCACTTAACTCAATCACTCTCTGTGCTCTCATCTGAAAAGTAGAGATAAATACACCCACCTCACAGGCAGTAAGGACTAAATTCCATGCCCCAAACATGCTGGTTCTCTTTTCCACCGTTCTTCAAACTTCCCAATCACCCCATGCTCCCCACCTACCAAGAAAAAAAAATAGCTGGAGGAGCTGGGGAAGGTTTCATTCACTTAAGTGGCGACACATGAGCTGGGGCTTGAAAGATGAGTAAAAGGTGAAGTTGACAGGCAGAGTCAGGAGCCAGGGCTTCCAGGAAGTGGGGACAGTGTGTTCAAAAGCACTAAGGTATGAAAGACCGTGGCACTAGGGAGCTGGGGACAGTAAGGGTTTAGAACACGGGCTGCATAGAGGGGCGTAGTTGACCAGTGCTGTGAGCACCAAGCTGGGAAAGGCAGGTGGATATGATTGGTCAGCTGTGTGCATATAGTGCCATTTCCAGACTAGAGAGACAAAAGCCGACCTCCCTGGAGCTGGGTGTTGAACGCTGACCACGTGATACACATTCTCCTCTCTGAGCTCCATCCAGGCGCAGCGTGGGCTCTGCTCCCCCTCTTCACCCCCCGGAGAGGAGCTCAGAGTCCAGGCCTCATGTCCCAATGTTGGACACTGAGTTGGATCTTCTAAGATCCTAGATCTTCCTTGATATTTTAGTTTTGAGACCCAGTATCTAGTTGTTTCATCATGCGTGAAACCGAGATAGTGAGCGATCTACTCAAGTATCTTCTTCCTACCAGTAGGAAATAGTAGCCCATTTAGGGAGCACGACTCTAAAGAAACCCAACCATAAATGTAAGTCATGGTATTACTCAGTTTCTCACTTAAATCAAATTCAAATTCATAGAAAAGAAAATCATTATACTGACATTAGAAGTTTATAGAGGTTCATGTAATTATGATAAAGAAAGAGATCATTACTTTTATAGTAATTATTTTAAAAATCATAATTTTATGGCTAACTATGCTGCATTGTAGGGTTGGCTACTTTGTAGGCAGGAAAACAGTAATCAGCTTTAGTAAAGAAAATGCTCAGGGGCCGGCCCGGTGGCGCAGTGGTTAAGTTTGCACGTTCTGCTTCTCGGTGGCCCAGGGTTCGCCAGTTCAGATCCCTGGTGCAGACATGGCACCGCTTGGCACACCATGCTGCGGTAGGCATCCCACATATACAGTAGAGGAAGATGGGCATGGATGTTAGCTCAGAGTCAGTCTTCCTCAGCAAAAAGAGGAGGATTGGCAGTAGTTAGCTCAGGGCTAATCTTCCTAAAAAAAAAAAAAAAAGAAGAAGAAAATGCTCAGAAGAAAAGGGAGGTGAGCTGTGGAAGGGGAGACATTGCATTTGAAGCCAGAAAACCTGGTTCATGCTCCAGTCTGTCATTTATTGGCTCTGTGTCTTTGGAGAAGTCATTTAACCTCTCTGAACTCCACTTTCCCCTCTCACTGAATAGGGAAAATAATAATACCTACATGATTGGCTTATTTTAGTATCAAGTGGCATAACATATGTCAAGGTGTTTTGTAACCTAAAGTCATTTTACTATTTATAATAATTACTAATTGGAAAAATAATCTATGTTAAAAGTGTACTATCAAAGAAAAAATTTATACAAAAGCCTACTAACATCACCGCTATCAAACTTTGCAAGGATATTATGGAAAACAAGAAACTTCCTATGTATGTTGCTTGAATAATAATGTTCTATTTTCTTCCTAAGGCATTCATTTATGCTAAAATTTAGTAATGGCTGTTCTCTGGATCATTAGAGATGTTCCTGTGAATAGGGCTCATGATCATAGAGAAATACTGCACATTCCATCCCAACTTAGAGAGACTGATTAAAACCTCTGAGAAACCCCACAATAACTTTAACTTGGTGTTTCCCAAACTTATGGGAGTGTAGAACTCTGTTTTCAAGTGTTAGCTTGAGTTAAAAGAACATACTTGGGGAATATTTTTATACATACTTTTCTTAAAAGCATCCACAACAAACCCAATAACGCTTGCTAGGAGCAGTGTGTCAATATAATTTCAGAGCAGAGAGCTCAATCGATCAAGCTTTGTCAGAATGGTAGTAAATTCCAACTGCTTTCTAAGCTTTTCTCTGGATTGCAAACGTTTTGTTTTCCTCTATCACTAGGCGAATGTGTAGTACTGTCTGAAAATAAGTCACGAAAATAATGTCTCAAGAAGCGTGCTCTGTTTTTCAGATGGAGAGACTGAGTCACTAAGAACTGAAGTGGTCACGGTGGCCAAGCTTGCACAGCTGGTAGGTGGCGGCTCTGAGATTCGGACTCAAGCGATCTGCTCCAGAGTCAGCGAATCATCTGACGATAAATGAAAATGTGTTTCTCGATGTGGTCCTGCAGAGAGATTCATATCGCCAGTGAGAGCTGCCAGTGAGAGCTGCTCCATATTCCTTCACACACTAGTTTAAAACAAACCCTTGAGGAGTGTTGAGTCAATTCAGCACAGCTGTTAATAGCTCAAGTTTTTGACGGTAGCAAGTTAGATAATGGTTGTCAGCTGTGTCACACCACCCAGACATTGCTGCTTTGAGCTTTTCTAAAACTCTAATGATGTACAATAGCTATGAAGGCTGACAAACTTGAACTTTACTCAGCACTTCATTGCTTCATAGATGAATGCAACTCATTTTACCTCAACCTATAACCTGATTAATATTAACAGCATATATAGATGAATAACCCATAGTTCTCTAATAAATTAGGCAATGAACTGCTGTTTTTGATCTTCTCTGTACTAGCTAAGATAAAATGCTAAGAACTTATTAAATAAGCAGTTCACTAAAAAGTTGAGCAGTTGCATAGTCAACTAGTATTCGGCTTAGAATTGCATTGATGCCATCTTCATTTGTGCTTTCTCTGGAATGGCTTTTCATTTTAGATACCTGGGTTTTGCTTTTACTGAATCTCAAGTTAGGCAGAGAGAAACATCTATCTATCTCAATCTCTCACTAATTCTCTCTCAAGCTTACCAATTTTGACACTTTACTCGCTTCTTAAAAGATGTTTATATTTATTAAATAAGATTCAATGGAGAAGTGTGGTAGTATAAAGATAATCTAGTTTCAACAAGCTTAAGGGGACTTCACAATTATTCAGATGTATTCTAATTTCACAAAATGGAAACTTCTAGTTATGAGAAACTAAAGAGGTATACCATATTTGGTCAAGTGGGAGATAATCAGCTTTTATAAAACAATATTTCTTATATACTCCTTCTTATCTGGTTTTTCTAAGTTCCAAAACAGTAACTCCTGGGAAGATATTTATTGCATCATCTTTCTAATGAATCTGCCTTGTCGGATGGTGTTAGTACAATTTGATGCATGGATGTGCACATCAATGTCGTATTTTGTTAACGTTCCTGGTTATCATACATCATCCAGGTGGATTTTTGTTGTGTTATCCTGTTTCTTAGAGTAGTAAGTTGCTGCTGGTGTTTTCGTTAATGGGAACTGTAAAATGAGAAGATTCCGGGTATTCATGGTATGAACAAACAGTTAGACCTACCATTCTGAATCAAGCTCAATTGGATATGCGAGAATTCAGAAAGGAATTTGTGTTGCCTGGTGAGTTTGCTAAACTGTGGGGTCAGGTCTCCGTAGGAGAGTTTTTTTTTCCCTAAAGAACGACAAATGAGTACTAAATAAACAGGAGATTGTGGACATATTTGTTACGTGGGCCTTCTTTGAAACAAAAATTTTGGTTAACATCAGAAAATGGCTTTAATATAAACAGTTTTTCTTAGAATGGTAGGTAGTGCCTTTAATAACCAGAATTGAAATTATACTGCTATTTATTTTTTCCTAATTCCTTCTTTATATATACTGAGGATTATGCTTAAACTGAAATCCTAGGGAAAAAAATTACTACAAAAGCCCCCTACCCGTAGTTAAGCGCCAGCAGCTTATTCCCTGCTTCGCTCTTGCATAAGTGACTTTTACTGTGAATGACAGGTTTTTCATTTGTACCCCTTCCCCAGATGTTTACTTTTTTCCCTTTATGTCAAGTTCAGGTTTGACATCCCCAAACCTGGAGGAAATTTAGAGTCACCAACCAGATGGACACTTTTACAGACCAAAAAATGAAGATCAACCTGCATTCCTGCCTGTGTGGCAGATCCAATAAACACAACCTTGACCAAGGAAGAAAGTTAATCATCAAAAAAAAAAAGAAAAGAAAAATAACAACCAACTCACACCAAGATCTTCTGTGTTATGGGGCTCCAGGAAAGAGAAGCAGGGGCTTACAGCTCCCAGGCTTCACTCTTGAGGGACAGCTGGACAACTCAGCCCCACCTGGGAGGATGCTGTCGTTTACATCTCAGGTTGCCGCCTGACGATTGGTGGCTGGGCTGGAAGGGAGGGTCCGCAGGAAACGCGACACTGGGGATGCTGCCCCCTATCACATGATGGAAATTTCCACTCTTTAGGAAGGCGAAAAGAAAAGAAAGAAGGGTCTGTCTATCCACCCTTTTCCGATACTTCCCCTGGATCCTAATCGGAAGAGAGTAGAAAAAGAGGCAGGTGAGTGAAACTTTTCGTATTTTCTGTTGGACTTAGAAACGTGTCAATGTGCAAACTCGTGGCTGGATCCCAGCCGGGATGGGTGTTTGCGTGTGTGTGCGCGCGCACGGGGACACTCACACGTGTGCAGCGCAGTCCTTCAACTGTCCGGGGCTTAGGTTAGGCGTTGCTGCTCATCAGACCTTGTTGATGGTCCCCAGTTATTCTTACTATTTTCCAAAGGATCACAGTTTGGGTGGGTTATTGCAGGCTAGTGACCAGGTTGACTCCAAGTTAAGTAAACCAGGGCACACGCAGGGAAGGGAGACTGGCTGGGCAGGCTCATGTGTGACTCCGTTTGCAAGGAAAGGTGGCTGTGCCAAGGCAGCCTATTCCCGGGGGGCAGGAGGGGGGTGGCTGGGGCACCCCCGGCCGCGGCCCCGGAATTCCCTGGGCGCTTGGGTTTCGAGTTGGGTGTACTGGGACCGCTTCCACCGCCGGGGCCGCGCCGCCTGCCTAGTGGAGGGGACTCGACCCCGCTGCGGAAGCTGGCTCTGCCTCAGCTCGGGATTCTGCTGGCAAGGTGTTACCCGAGGCGCGGGACCTGGGCCAGGTGGGGACACTGGGTGCAGGACTCAAAATAGAGCCCTTGTCCTTGACAGCTGGGCCACCCAGGAGGCCAGCACAGTTCCTTGGGTGGGGGGGGCACAGTTCCTCGGGTGGGGGGCTCCGGCCTGGGGATCCCCCGCGGAGTCTCCTTCAGGAGAGGAGGAAGGCGAGAGCATTGCTGGGTCTGGGGGGGCCTCTGCCCTGGGCGGTGGGCGGCTTCGCACACTGAGCCCGTGGCTCCGAGGGAGGCGTCCCGCGCCGTCGGATTGGAAAGCGCGGGGCGCGCTGGAAAGAGGGAGGCGCAGCGCAGAAATGGGGAACGGAAAGGCGAGTGGAGTCCGGGAAAGGGAGAGAGGGCGTCGGAGAAGAGGGGAGAAGCCCACGGAGGAGAGGAGAAGGGAAGAGTCATAAGAGGCCAGACCCCAAGAGGGTGGGAGTGGGAGGGAAAATGGAGAGAAGAGGAGAGAAGGGAGGAGGGATCCTGTACGCAGGGGGCCTCCCCAGTCCGGGAGAGGAGAGAGCTGAGCGCAGGGACGAGCCAGCCGCGCGCTGGGGGCGGCGCGCAGGGAGGGGCTCTTGGTCTCGCGGTGGCACCGGTAGGCTCTGCGCCCCTGGTCGGCGTGGGCTGGAGTGGAGGCGCGGAGCGGGGGGACTCGCGAGTCTTCCGGGATCCCTTTGCTGATCAAGCAGGGAGAGGTGGAGAGTGTCCCTTCCATGCGCGCAGGGACCAGCCCAGGGAGGAGAACCGGGCTGCTGACTTGGTTGGAGGAAAGGGGACGAACTAAACTGGGAACCCAGGCCTGGGAGAGTTAGTCGCTGGTGTGCCAGGGCGTGTGCGGAGGAGTGCGGGGTAGTGGTTGGGGGCCTAGAGGGACTTGGCGAGGCCGGGAGATCCCGAGCCGCAGTCCTCCGCCGAGCCCTTAGCTACCTGGGCTTGATTTCACTGAAGGGGGACCGGTTACTCTTGATACCTGTTTCTCAGTGCGAAAGGTATATGTCTACCTGTCTCAAGGGGCTCTCAGATTCCCAGAAAAAGAGATGAAGGAAGTAGCAGCGGCCCTGGAGGTGTAAGCAGACCCTGACTGCCCACTTCCCACGGCCGCCCCCTCCCCCGGGGCTCCTGGACCTGCTTGCTTTGTTATCCGTTGGGAGTCGCACAGCTTCTCACCCTTAAGGAGAGGAGGCAGCGGACTTCACCATGGATGGCCTTTTTCTCAGTTTCCTGGTTTCCTATATTCAGCTGCTGCTTCTTTTTTTCTTTTTGTTTGTTCGTTTGTTTGTTGCTTCCAGGCAGCGCGGGCATAATCATGAGGCCTGAATTGTCTCATGCTGTAAAGACAGCATCCTACACCTGGATCACAATTTCCAGGGCCTGGGAGCTGGGGCTGTAGCTTGGGTTCGTTCCAACTTTAGCTTTGCCTTTGGCAGACCTTAACTTTTTTGTGGAGCTGGGGTGGGGAAATTAGTCCCCTCTTGTTTTTTGTTCTTGTTGTTTTTGTCCCCACTGCACTGCAAACACGTCTCTAAGGAGTCAGTGAGATTGGTGGACTCTCTCTTATGGAACACAAGAAATACGTGTGTGTGATATACCCTTTCAAATTCTAGAAAAATCAACCTACAGAAAATCTATGTTCCAGGTAGAAGTTTGTGACAGAGATGCTAAAGAGAACATCTGATCTTCCGAAATTACTGAAATCATGTGTTCAGAGACAGGAGGCTTTTTTGGGCTGATTTTTATCACAAAACATCAAAAAGCAGGAAGACTGGTATAAGGGGATAAGTAACTTTCCCAGCTGCAGGGGTGGGAGCTCTTCTGCCAGAGGAGGCAGAGAAGGTGCCCCCAGGAGGCTAGTGGCTACCAGATTAATGATAATAATGGCTCACACATTAATATCAGTTATTAGATTCCTGATGTGTTACTAAGTGCTTCTTTGACGTTAACATTTGATGCTCATAACAACTTTATAAGATAGATTCTATTATTATACCCATTTGACAGATCAGGAAATGGAGATACATAGTGTGGAAAACACAGAATGTCTTTGGAAGTTCTATTTGGGTGTTCATTATTCTCAAATGTAAATGGGCAATTCTTTTTCACTTTGCCCTTTGTCATGGGCAGGACTGGACAGGTGACTTCTAGGGACCCAAAGCTGACTTCTTGGTCTATTACAGACTAATCCTATCCAAGAAAGCCAAGGACATGATCCTGCAGCTAAGACTGAATCTTTGCAGGCCCAGGACTGGATTTGCTATCCAGTGACATTTGAGAAATGCATTGTCTAACTATGGTTACCTGGCGGCTTATCAAACGCTGAGGGTGGGCAAAAAATGGACAGCACCTGGTAGACTTCTGTGTTAAATATTTCTCTTCTGTATCATTGTCTTTGTTCATTTCTGCAGTGTTTTCAGGTATCTATTCCTTTTTTTCCCCCTTATCCCTTGGACAGACTTACTAATATTTTCTAACTATTTTTAAAAATTTAAACTCCTTTTTTTTTACTTTTTATATATCCAAAGCAATGATTTTTATAAAATCATAGGTTTAATGGGGTTTAATAACTAGTGAAATATTGTAATGTATGTCAAAATAATAATACAGTTTTTAAAAACGTGCTTCCATGGATCACCTGAAATCATCTTGCCTGCCACTACTGCCCTGATGACATCTTGTAGGGACAATAAGGGGTGGGAGTAGGGAAGAGACAAAGGAAAGAAAAGAAGGACTCTCGGAGCCAGACTTGGAGCTAAGCCCTTTACACATGTGAACCACATTTCATCGTCATACAGGACTCTCTACTACAGGTGTTTGTTATCTTCATTTTACAGAGGAGGAAATCAACGCTCAGAGAAATTAAGGAAAGAACCAAGGGTCACACAGCTAGTAAGCAACAGTTCTGGCATCAGAACTATGTCCCTCCTATGCCAAAGTTCCTGCTTCTAGTAAAGAGAGCAGTGAGAGAAAGACTACTAGAGAACAAAAACTTAAGGAAACGAGAAGCTTAGAAAGATGTTACACAACAGAGAAGGATTGAGAGATAGGAGAATGGAAAAAACCGAATCACTTTCATGTGACTGCTAATCTGCCCCTGGACTTCCTTTACTGTTTTCGTAATGACCTAATTCCATTCATTCATTCCACAAACAATCATTGAGTTTTATTATCTTCCAGAAACTGTATTAAGAGTTTCTTTTATGCCTGTCTTCCTAAATCCTACCACTGTCCTGGGCAAAGACTAGGTGCTCAAGAAATGTTTGTCGAATAAACGAATTAGTCTGGCACGGGAAAGAATAAATAAGCAAACAGTTGCACCAACAGCATGTTAACGGCCAGGGAAAAATCAGATTTGAGCGCTCTGCCACTGAACCTGGCTTAGGAAAGGGGTCAGAGAACATTTCAAGACCAGGTGATGCCTGAGCTGGGTTTTGAAGCAGAAGTAAATGTTAGCCAGGCAAAGAAGTGAAGAAAGTGGGAGAGGATTCTCAACAGAAAGACCGGCCTGAACAGAGGAAGGAGAAGGTGGGAGCCACTTTGGGAACTGACATTCAGTACTGGGAAGTGAAGAATGCCAGAGAAGGGGCTGGGACGGAGGTGTGGTCTGGGAGGTGGAAGGTGTGGTCTGGGAGGTCCTTAAACATTCCCTCTGCAAGTGTCTCATAGCTCTCTACCCGGCCCTTGGATTTCGGAAGTGAACTATAAACAAAATGACTGAACCCAGGAATTAGCAATACATTTTATTATTTTATCATTTTATTATGGCCCTAGAACAGTGAACCTATAGTGTTTAGACTCCTTACACTGTTAGGGTTTTAAAATCTGTGTTCAAATGGAAAGACGAGACTTTGTCGTCCCATGTATGGGAAAACCAAATTATTTTTCTTGTTCTCAAGGGGCATTTCTCTTTTAGCATAGATACAATCTACACCATCACGAAAAAGACTTCCAAACAAATGTTCTAGGTTTTTCTTGGAGGGTAGCAGGGGAGGGGGGGATTTCTCTCTTTATATCAGTTTTTAGTGGTTTTATTTTTTATATTAGTGTGTTACAGAGTAGTCAGGAAGTAAAATGTATTTCAAAAAAATAAGATGAGATGGGGAATGGAATGTCACCCTCCTATCTCCAAAGTAGATGTTTCTCCCAGTCAAGACTCTGGCTTTTGATACTAGACTTTGAAAACTCAACTGCTAATGTCTCTTCTCTCTGTAGGCATCTTTTATACCAATTTGTCTTTCTAGGCTCAGAGGTCTGCATGCCACTTCCACACTTGCAAAATACTCTTAGTCATACTGCTATTAGGAAGGGAATTCAAAGGATAAATGAAATTACAAATAATCCAAAACCTAATTTCGGTTCATAGATTAAATCCTCCACTTTTTAGCATTATCCTTGAGCAAGTTTTGTAATCTTTCTG